ACTTGTGTCGACTTACATTTGAATAACAATGCATTTTCAGCCAAGCTTATTTGTTCTATTATGCACAAGACAAATGTAGATTCGGAACGTACTGAAAATAAGTTGTATCGCGGAGAGCTGGAACAGAATTCTGCATATTTTTTTACGCCTCGGAATCGTTCGTTGATAAAAGTTGCTTGTTTTTTCTACTAGAAAAAACAACAAAAAAAAAGGAAAATAAAATACATGGTCATTTTTATGAGTCGATCATTACATTACTGTAATTGGCTCATAAAAGTGACTCTTCAGGTTTTCTAGCTCGAGAAGAATGAAGCAAAAAATAAACCTAGAATGTTTGTAACGATTTTTGAATTTAGAAATAAACCAATAACGAAGCATTGTCCCTGATTTTAATCTATTTTTAGCGAGCTAAACTAAAGTCTAACCGCAAATAGTCATCAATTTCTCTTTTAATTATCATAGTAAACCACCGATCACAGTAAAAGATAAAACCGACAAATAAATACAGAATTCCGAAGAATACTAAAATCGCTATTGCCAATCAAACTTTCTCACCGACCGAGACAATCAGAAAAAAAAAAAGTGTCTCCTATGGCCGTAAGAATCCACCGGCAGAAAATGCTCTCGTAATAATTGCTCGGCTGAGAATGCGTGTAAGCCGCGAACACGTGTCGCATTGCAGCTTGTGTCGGCTGGAGGCGAGAAGGTGGCGGCGTCGACGAATCGAGGTCCCTTCTTTCCCTCTCTTACGGCTGCAGACCATAGAACAATGCCTCGCTGATGGCGCAACACGTGCACAAGTCGTCGTCAATTCTCGCTCGCACGTATAAGATTCAATCCGCTCTCCTAGGAGCATGTACACGGCTTTCGGCCGGCTGCCAATGATGCGCTTTTCGCTTGCGTTTGCGCAAAGGGATTTCCAGAGCATAAGAAGCTCTTTCGATCATCGCCGAAAGTGTTTATAATCATTTCGCTTTCGCAGTCGTGGAAAGTCACAAGACAGCAAATTGTATCATTTGCTTTACGTAAAGTTTTTGGCACTTCGTGAATAACTCATTCAGTGTATAAATCAGATATTAACATCATCAAACGCATTATAAGAACTCGATAAGGAAGAGAAACTCGTTCGATCTGAGGTAAAACTTGATATGCAATTTTGAGTTTCTCGTTCGACTTGATTTTTGAAAGTTAAAATATCCATCATCGCGTTCCGGTTACTAGAGCTCTCATCAAGTTTTCAACTCATGAAAACTGGATGAAATTTCCAGTTTGCATGGCTTCAAATTCATTTCCAATCCCGAGTGTTCGGCAAGCTCTCGGGGAAATAACTGTAGCGACGATTTGACACTCGTTAAATCTACTTTTATCGCGATAAAAAGAAAAAAAATAAAGAAAAAGAAGTAACTTCCTTTATTATTTTGTATGTTTTTTAACATCGCGCGAACTCGTAAACTTCGACAATGAGATTCCAGGAAAAAAGTGAATCTTCATTTCACGGATAGTTTGAGCAGCTTTTTTTCAAAAGAGAAAGCTCGCTGAGAATCGTTGCTAAAATATAGATAAGAAACAAGCTACTCGCACTGATCGTGTCCTGCGGTAACGCAACCTTAATCGCGACCCAGCGATCACTGAATCGATCGTCGCTTTGAATTTGGAAAAAGCAGCGACAGTTGGCTATTAATTGATCGGCAACGAAAAAGAGTCAGTTGGAATACACGTCAACTTGAATTTTAGCCGCGGCGAACGGAGAACGGGGCAAACAAAGAATTGTTACGCAAGAGTATGCAAGAAGATGCATTCTAGGCTGTATCACGTTTTCACCTGCAGGCTCGCTCAGCTTACATCTTCATGCTCGCGCACAATGAGAAAGTCCTCTCTCTGATTTTCATTTTGATTGCATGCAGCTCCACTGCGCCGCCGACGCTGCACTAATCCCGACAGATTTACGGCTCGTTGCCTTGCGCTTGGAGTTCCAGCCGAACGCTTACTTTCTATCCATGAGCATTGATTCGATTAGATCGATAGCGAACAAACCAAGTCGAACTTTTTCACCGAGAATCGTGTTTTTCGGAGATCAATTACATTAAATCCAAAGTGGTTGTTTGGAGGATTCACGAGAGATTAGTAGACGGTATTGAGTTTAATGATTTGAGATGATCTATACGATGAAACACTTTGATTGTGCTATAATATAATAGATTTGAGTTACTACAAATCTTAACACAAAAGACTCGGTTCATTGTTGAAAATAGACTGATGGTTGTCCAAATGTAATATCAATAAAACATAACTGGATTCAGTAGAATTTAATGAAAAGAGAAGATACGTTTGATAGATCTATGTACTCGAGCTGCATTAAACCGTAAAATAATAACTCCAACGCAAACTCATCTTGCCTAGAGAAAGAGAAAGAGCTGCCGGAGCTCGCGGGCGGGAGCGAGAGAACAAGCCTCGCAAAAGCCAAGATACGCGCGTAAGCCTGACGTAATTTCTCGCGCAGTCTCGCGCTGAAAGGGTGTCGCACTCTCTGGGCATGAGCGTGAGTAACGGTGAATTCTCGCGATGATCGATGCGCCGTTTTAAGGCTCAATTTAATCCTCGGCGTTCATGTTTCGCCGGGCGAGTTTCTCGATTTTTATTGCGCTTCGATGAACGCAGACGGAAACGGAACGATTTCGTATCTACGGAAAACTGCTCCCGTTCGATGCACTTTTAACTGATTTTCACGCGCTTACCTTCAACTTTTTTAATTGCGCTTTATTTTCGACGTCTCCTATAATGAAATCCAAGATGATAATACGTTTGGATGTGCCGATGTGTAATTCGTAATGTAATAATTGAAAGAATTTTTTTTTAATAAAGAAATATTTTATGTACTTAACAAATACTATAACAGAATTAGAAATTATAAAAATCAAGCAGCGTACGGAGAGGTGTGCTCGACATTGATTAATACTCGAAAAAACTGAATTTTTTCGATAATCTTTTATTTCAATACGATGACTATACTCCAACGATTCCTAGCACGATACATATCTTAAATATGCATTCAAACGCACAAAATAGATGACATTAAGGCAATGTCTAAGCTAGTTTCCGTATTGTCCGCAATGAAATATTTATATTATCAATACGTCCTGTCAGTTCATTCAAAATTATTATATTTTTAGATATGTGATGTAGTAAAAATTGATTAATACTTGTGTCCAACCGGATAGGCGATTCAATATACTCACCGTAATCTACAAAAGGAAGAATGACGAATAGGATGAATAAAGTGTTTATCATTCTGCATATTACTTGATAAGTGTTGTTTCCTAAAAGTAATGTTATTCTACTGACTGTGATTCATTTCAATTGTTTCGGTGCACGCCTATACTATGAATCTTTATCAAACCTTTAAATATCACTGGAGTTTTAAATTCATGCCATCTGCGCTACATTGTTTCTGAAACGTAAGAAAAGTATCGGTAGAAATCTGTTGCCGAGAAATATAATGCTTATCGTATGAATTTTTACGGAAATGAAACAGGTGTGGACCAGAAAGAAAATTGTTGTCAGCTTTAATGAATTAAAGCAGCGTTATACAATTTTTAATTGCAAAGTAATAAAATTATTTTACTCGTAGACATTGGTGTATAATATACGTAGCATATCAACGGCAAAACATGATTACACATGACGTAATATATTCTTTACATGACGTCTACACGTAAATAAATTTATCTCCCGAGAAATGATATATCATCCACCGTTCAAGGTCAATTGGCGATGGAAATTTGTGTCTACTTTTATTACTCCTCTTTAGATTAATCGCAACAACATTCTGCAATGCGCGCATGCTCGAATAATTTGTAAATTATCACCGAGCACTGTTGATATGTAGTCGGAAAACATACCTATACCAACGGAAAGTCAGTGCGAAATGACGCTTTAAAAACATACATTCGTTGTTTATACATCTACCGCCTTGACACTCAATGCGAAAGTCGCGATGGTAATGAGGGTGTCACTCGACAATAGTAATTGATCGACCTTAATCAGTCGACTCGCCAGATTAACCAAAGGCGTCGATCGAATTATCGATGATATCGGCCGAGTCGTCGTCTGCAATGAAAACCGCAAGTGACCCAATTTCCTACGGCAAGAGAGCCCACTAATACGGACACTACACGCGCATAGCCACGTGGAAAATGAATGTGCCCACGCGGCAGTTGTCCATCTCTTCCTCTACGTTTACGCCTATGACGGTGCATAAGCAAATTGCCACCGAGTGATTCGATTGTTGTGTCCAAGGCTCACGCCGCCCGACTTATTTGAATAAACTGTTCGTGGATGTATTCGCTCCTCGTATTTTCACTCTTTTCTTCGCTCTTATTACATCGGAATTCGCACTGTTTGTTCAGTTAAAAAAAATAATAAGACTTTGAAGACATTCGCTTGCAGTCGATTATTTCATCAGTCGAGGTACTTTGAAAGCAATTTAAACGTGCAAATCTTATAGCCTTGGCGATAGTGGCACAATGGAATCATGATAATTCTAAGGTTTCTGCTTGTAATAGATTAAAGATTTCAATGCTGATTCAAAGTTTCACGCGAACTGAGATTACTAATCGCGTTTCTTAATGACTCTCGTGGAAACTTATATTCCGTACTACATTGGACATTAATTTTAAACTTTTAGACATTGTCTTATTATTACTTAATTCGAATAGAATTGATGCATTGTTTGTAGAAGGAATGTCGTTCGAATTAATTTAAATCGCCACCCAAAATAGAAACGAATGATCGAGTTACATGATTTTCGCGTGTACAAACTATAACGTGCGTAGCCCACAATAAATCAACAGAGTTAACAAACAAGTACGAGGATCGGTCATAGACTTTCACATAGGAAAGTAGCTCACGCTCACCTTTAAACCCGTATAGAGAGACCTTTCACCCAGGACGACTGCATCGACGACGCGATAACGCTTTTTGTCTGTTTTTCTTTGTTGTAGCGGGCGCCAGCAGCAGTAACATCGGCAGCATCGCCGAGGCCAACCAGCAATGTCCTCTTGGCATGTTCAGGTGCCCCGAGGGCAAGTGCATACCCGCGAGCTCGGTCTGCAACTATCAGCGCGACTGCGAGAACGCCGAGGACGAGTTTCAGTCTTGCAGTGAGTGTTCATTTATAAAACCCTTTTCTCATGCGTTATCACTCTTGTTTTTCTAACGTACCCGAAAGCACGTGAATAATATTATCTTCATCCTTTGCAATGAACGTTTAGCATGGTTCATTGGACGCATGATATAATTCAACAATAAAATAGCAATCACGCTGTAACGCATGTTACTCATTATTTTTGACTTGCCAGGGATAAAAATGATGTATTGTACTCATCAGTTTACGCGTTTCACAAGTAGAGTTACTTCAATGAATGCTAATTCATATTTATATTATAGTTTTAACTAAATAACTAAATTCTAAATGTAATAGTATAATACATTACATCAAACATATAAAAAAACTATAAAAAAATAATGAATCGTGTAATTTTTTTCTATAATCAACTGTCTCGAGCATTGAGCAATTTCAATCACCAATTGCGCCTACAGTATGTCATCTAATAATATAGAAAAAGCAATTAGTGCAAAGTATTTCAGATAATTTATATTTTCATCACATACACAGATTGCAAATTTTAATTGGCTCTGTCACCTTAACAGTCCATTGATAATCTGTACATTTTTACATGTTATTTTCTTAATACAAACGTTCATTATTTTTCGATACAACATGTACGAGACGAAATTCGAAGCACTCTTGCTTTCCTGAGCGTGCGTACATCGAGTTTTCGGGCACGGAGTAGATAAAAATTAAGTATTACCTTATAATGAATTCCTGTAACAATCGATGTACGATAACATTTAAAAACGATTATGTATTCCAATATAACAAACTTGTAATGTCATTTTTTGTATTGGCGGAAGCATTCCAATCAATTATTTCTTTTCTGACGTCACCACTGTATGGACAAGTCACATATTATATACTACATGGTGAACATCTCCATGAAATTCCCTCGCGAAAAGATTCGCCATAAATGCAGTTACCACCCCTGCAATGGGAATGACAGTCGGCCTGGTACTGGAAATGGCATCTGTCATACAAGCCTGCTACTAATGTACCTGTTTACAAAAATTTATATCTTAAATATTTCATCTCTAATCATTTTTAATCGTTATCATTTTATTTATGGCGTCTTAAAATTAATGAAAATTTATATCCTACCATAACGGTACAGTTTAAACTTACTCTGAACTACAAAAAGAAATATGACGCACGGAATGAGCAGTTTATTGATCATTTCGATCGCTACTTGATGTATCGTTGAATGAGAGCAACTTTATGAAACTGGCTGTTATTTAATTGTATCGTTTTCATAGAACGTTTTTGCTATTGACCTTCGTTGAATTTTTTATTGGATTGTATGATTCAGGCTTTTTAATTACGTTATCTGAAGAGCCACTCTGTCTCTAAGGAGTGATTAGATTATCGTAAGTGTACAGTCAAGTATGCTTTTGTAAAATGTTAAATTTGTAAGCGTTTAATATTGGTCATTATTTTTAACGAATGAAAGTTGAGACGGTAACAAACATTATTCCAATTTGGAAAGGTATCTTCGGTCATATTCATAATATCTCTGAATTTTTTAAGTAACGTTAGATGGAAGACCATATTATAAGGATCAGATTGCGTCATGTATCAAAATTGCAACAAAAAGAACAAAAAGTACAATAATAGTTTCATTTTCAAGATCAGCAAACTGAGAATGCAAATTTTATTAAATAAATCTTTTCGCGTAATTGCCAAATATTGATTTTGAAATTAATATAATGACACGACTTGTAGAATAACCTTCTTCATATACTATTACTTTCCTTATATATACATTACGTACTAATCCACTGTATAAATGTAAGCAGTGTATGAAGTTTCAATATTAATAATCACATATTTATATTTTTGTAAAATCACACCATTAATCTCTCAACATTTTATTTTAAACTACAGCCCCACCAGAATGCGAGGCAGGTCAACTGACTTGTGGCCAGTATGTGTTCAATAAAACCTACTGCGTTCCTCCGTATCATCGATGCGACATGTCTGTCGACTGTGTCGACGGCACAGACGAGGCTGGATGCAGTAAGTTCACACTTCCTCGTTCTTCTAACCATTATCTAGACCCTCGACAGATGCAATTTGCCCAAACATAGAGTAGCTTCGATCACAAGTGCCCCGCGACGCGACGGTTGTTTGTGACGTAATTATCATCACACGCACGTGTTAAAGCTGTATGGCTGACGTAATGATCGGCTTCTATGCAGCACGTTCGCAATAAATCATTTGATAGGCAGCTAATGAGAAAGGATAAAAGTGAGACTGCCGGGTAATTTCAACGAAAAATACTTCGTCGAAAAAAGGGTCAATTTGAGAGTAAAAGACAGTAAAAAATGCCACGCTTGCGTAATAAAAATCGGTCGCAATAAATACGTATAACGGCCGCCATGGAAAACGGCCATCTCTCGAGCTCGAGAAATTTTATAAAGCGTGAAAGTATCGATACGTGCAGATTTAGTGCCGAGAGAGAGAGAGAGAGAGAGAGAGAGAGAGAGAAGTGAGCGAAAGTAAAGTGTATTCGTTATATACAGGGGATAGATGAAGGGACGCGAGGTTGGAGCCTCGCCTATTTGAATTCCATCGCGCTCACTTCGCCTCTCGCCTGCCACGTTACTGCCGCCAAGTCGCTCACCTACTGCGCATGCATCCTTTATGGGGGCCTCTCTTTTTCGCGCGCGCGCGCACTCCGCCATTAAATTGCGGTGAAATTCGCCGCGAAAAACAGGAGCAGCCCATGAAGAATGGCCATTATCACGAGCTCGCGTCTAGTATCATTGGTGCGCATACCGCGAGTTCTTATCAAATGACGGCTCCGCAGGAAATACACCAGCGCGTTTGTTTGAGCAATAAGAGTGAGCGCGCGTGGGCAAAGAACGCCGCGCGACAATGGCCAAAAGAAAATAAAGTCGAGCGTCCGGCGTTTTGACAATAACGATTTTCTCGCGAGGAACAAAAGCCCCGGATGTAGGTTATACTTTCTACGCGCGCGTGTATTTCTTTCGTTCGCGAGCGCTCGCGCAAGCCGCGAGACGCAGAAAGAGAAAAGAGGGGGGGGGGGGGGGACGAAGTGCAGTGAGCTCGTAACACAACGCACGGGAGAGCCGGCCGGGAGATAAGAAAAAGGCGCACGTATCTTGTCGGCGCGCGCTCATCTCTCGCACTGCTTTCCCGTTCTAATTGCGTCGGCGGCCAGTGCGGCACACACCAAAACCGAAGATGTATGTGCGCGCGGTAAACAAACCAAGAAGAGCCGGGCCCGTTATCGTCAATTTACTCGTCAGTCATTCGCAAATCCGATCCTTTGTGCTCGCATTGCCGTGAGCAGCGTCCTTTCATCGTCGCTTACAATCGCGCGCGCACAAGTCCGCTTGTCCGCTGTCGCACCGCCGATGATTTTTAATTCACGCCTGGCCACTTTTCTTTCCTTTTCTTCTCTGCTCTCGTTTCATTTGGCGACCCTCCCGCCCGCGCTGATAAACGAAAAAGTCGCGCGAGTCCCATTGTCGCTCACTTTGTTCCCGGAAAGAATGGCACAAGCTTCGCTCGTCGATCGTGCGCTCATTTTTTTTCCTCGTCTTTCGGCCTCAAAATAAAGATGCAACGTCCACGCTTGAAAGATCGTTGTGCCTATATTCGAACTATCTACGTTTTATTTGACGTACTTGCTGTTATGCGTTTGGAAACTAGGTTCATAAGTGTAGTTAGCAACTGTTTAATTACTATGAGGCAACGCAGGTTACGATCCAGAAAAGGAATAAACTCTCGGCAACGAGTTGAGCTCGCACTCAATATATGCTCACACTCAATATATTATGGCTTTAAGTGCGATATTACTCTGTGGCTGAAATGTAAGTTTTCTTACAAAATAAAAATATTTCTCGAAGAATTTTTCAAGAGATTTCGCGTCTTTGTATACAATTTGATTACTATTAAATTGCTTTGGCAGCTATTATAAATTGATTATTCATCATTAGCGATTACATGGGTTCGATTCGTTTAATACACGAGGGAATGATAAAATATTATTCAATGCATTGGGAACAACTGACGAATAGAAAATCAAGGTAACAAAAGTTATATTAACTCTAATTGGAGGTTGTCGGAGCGCAGCTCAAGTTTTTCATTTTCATTTGATAAAAATACGTTTCAGCTTGAAATCTTTAATAGACAGATAATTTAATTGCATCACAAGAGTCAAGGCAATCGAAATTCAGATAACATTAAAGAACGTTCGTAAATTCGAAACAAGCATCTACGTAAAAGTAGGAAAGCTCTCGCGCGTAATCTCGATTGCCAATCGATTCCCGGAATCCTGAAAATCTCCGCAAGACGAATCTGCGCGAAATGAAAACGAGCGACACAGCTGCGCACACTCACGCATACTAGACGCGCATAGGTGTGCACATACGTAGCGAGAGACGGCGTGTCTAAGAGAGGGAAGAAGATGGCACGGCATGGTACAAATTCCGGCTCACCTCGCCGATCTCTTGCCTCTCTCGTCGCCCCACTCTTTCTAAGCGGCAGAGAAAAAAAAACGCAGACTCACTCGACTAGTACATTACAAGGGAGAGAGAGAGAGCGACGATAGAAAGGTGCGACCTCGTGCTACGACCAAGTAGGCATGCATGCATGCGCACTCGAGGAATGCGCATCATGCCTGATTTTTCGATTGTTCTTACACCTCCTCTATGACTATCCGTCACGATGATCACTGTTGCGTAAAATTTTTCCAGACTTCTTTTTCTTCGTCGTGCTAACAACTGAGTGTCATTCGAGTGCGAGTTTCCATGTGAATTTCATATGGTGTTCAAAGTCGATTTGCTCACTTACAAGCACATCGATACCTATAGTTTACGTTCAAATGAATTTTTCTTTTAATAGCTTTTATCAGCCTCGATAATACGTCTTCCCAGAAGTACGTTTGATTATTACTGCCACGATGTAGATCCGAATTCGACAAGAGCGCGCGTCGCCGTAGGATTTCACTCACATCGGCGTCGATCCACAAAGCCGAATATTTTTACTTTTCACTATTAAATAGTTGAAGGAGAAACTTTGCGTCGATAGCTTTGCCCATGGCAGACATTGAACGACCGATCCGTCTAACATCCAACGAAATAGTTACGCAACGCACGGAATTCAGTAACCCGAGACTCTGGTTCTCGCACCAATGCCAAGGCCGCTTCGTCGCGATAAAGCATCGGCTCTATAAAGAATGATGTGCCGTAGAATTACAGTTTTTCATACAATTTTTGGTATTTTCAATAGATAATGAATCTAAAACTGCAATGTATATGCACATTCAAGTCATATTGTAATGCGTTTCTTTCTCGTCATTTATATTTCATTTAGATTGTCAGTGTAATGGTCACGTTACTGCAATATAATATTATGGCGATTTAAACTTTTAACGCTATTAGTGATTTTAACGAACAGTTCGGATTCCCAAAGCAGCACTATCCCGAATCGAATCAGCTAAATCTTTACTTGTCACTTTCAACTTGCAGATTATCGAAAGTGTCTAGCCGACGACTTTCGTTGCGGCAACACGACTACTGAGCCTTGTTTGCCAAAAGAAAAACGTTGCGATGGATATCTCGACTGTAGAAATGAAAGAGACGAAGAGGGTTGTCCGAATGCAAGGGCAGCCTGTCGACTGGATCAGTTCAGGTGTAACGTGACGCAGAGATGCGTCGAACAGACGATGAGATGTAACCACAAGGACGACTGCGGCGATAACAGTGACGAAGAGCATTGCAGTAGGTTTTTTAAACTGCTTATTCGTATAACAAATGACCCTATTGTTCAGAGGCCTTCTCTTATCTTTGCCAACTTCATTAAAATTCCATCGCGTGATTCACTCAACAATGCACCTAACGATAAGATTGTTTGGCATTTATCAAGTTGTTGTTCTAATTATGCATCCCACACATATCGCTTCACATTATTTGTTGGGTGAAATCGTCATTTTGCCCGGAAATCGACAGTAATTTATCGCATCATGCATTAAAAGTTGTGTTTACTCGGTAGCTAAGAAAAATATTCTTAGTAAGCCATTTGGATTATTTCAGGTTTCCCGGCCTGCACGGCCGATCAGTTCAGATGTGCGAATGCACTGTGCATCCCGTTGAGCTACCAGTGCGACGGTTACAGGGACTGCGAGGATGGCAGTGACGAAAGAAGCTGCACATCCATAGTATGTCCAGGTAACAAGTACCTTTGCCCTAAAGGTTCCAACGGTAAGCCGCTTTGTATCAACAAGTCGCAGCTTTGTGACGGCAAGAAAGATTGCGACGATGGCAGTGACGAGGAGACTGCTTGCTGTTAGTTCTTCATTTTCGTTATTCTAACTGTTGGCTAGCTGCTCGGAATTTCACATTAATTAATGAATTTATTGCTTGATTACAGCAACGCACATGTGCAATTCATTAGGCTGTCAATACCAGTGCCAAGCGTCTCCCACCGGAGGTGTTTGTTATTGCCCGGAAGGTCGTGTACTAGCCAATGACTCCAGAAGTTGCATGGGTAAAATACTTGCATATTTTGATATATTGTTGTGTAGGCCGATTATACAGGCGACGGATAAAAATCGACTTCATTATTGTTGCCATAATTTACAATCAATAACCATGTATGTCAGCGCGCGATGGCCGTGAACTCGAAAGATTTATTACCATAGACACTAGTATTAAATTATGTAATCAATCAAGTTTACTCAAGCTACTTCGCATATATCCTTGAGGATATAAATGTGGTCTATCTCGGTGTCTTAGGAGTGGAATCTATTAAAACGTCAAATGTCGACAAGTTGCTTGGAACAATGAGAAAAAACAAAATAAAGCAGTTTAAAAAATTGTGAGCGAGCTCTTATATAAATCATAAACTTTGTTAAAATGCAGATCGCAACGAATGCCAAGAATGGGGTTTCTGCGAGCAACTGTGTACCAACACAGACGGCGGTTACCTGTGCAGCTGTGCACAAGGTTACGCGCGTTTTCGCAACACTCGTTGTCGAGCCATCGACACCGAGCCACTGGAGTTGCTCGTTGCCCAAGAACGCGCGATTTGGAGGGTATTGCCCAGCAGCGGTAATGACGAGCGACACCTCATCGCCAATACCACCGGAGCTAGCGGCTTGGATTATCACTACGACAGGAATTTGTTGTTCTGGAGTGATGTTAAAACTAGAAAGATTCATTCGCAGCCGCTCAAGGGTATTTTGTTCTTACATACTTTTTACTTTTTACTTTTTCCTTTTTACCAAGAAATTTCATGTCACGCAGGTTCGACGGAACACGTCGATCCACATATATCACAACCGGGCTCATGGGCGCCGGTCGCCCTTGCGGTAGACTTCGTCGGTGATAAACTCTACGTAGTCGACTCGATTGTACAGAAGATCGACGTGTTCGAATTCAACGGCCACTTCCATGGTATAGTCCTCGGTTCGAACCTCACATCTCCAACTGATATAGCCCTAGATCCACTAGTCGGTTTGATGTTCGTCGCTGACAGCAAACAAGTGCTGCGAGCTAACATGGACGGTACCAATGCCTTCCCCATCGTGTCTGAGGCCGCATACAAGGTGTCCGGGGTTGCGGCTGATCTCATTGCTAAAAGGATATATTGGTGTGATCTTTTGCTCGACTACATCGAGACAGCAGATTACGTGGGTCGAAATCGCGTGATGGTATTGAGAGGCAATCAAGTACCGTCACCCATAAGACTGGCGCTTTTCGAAAACAAGGTGTACTGGACTGACAGTTCAAAACAAGCAGTACTCAGTGTTGAAAAATTCAACAGTCAAGTCGAGAACTCAGTGAAGAGTGTGACCAAGCTGAGGGACGCCAAAGCTATCAAAGCGCTGCACTATCTTGTGCAGCCAAAATCAGTGCAGAATCCGTGTGGTAATAATAACGGTGGTTGCTCGCACATGTGCATAGTTACTGCCGCTGGTGGTATAGAGATCGGTCTGGGATACAGATGCGCCTGTCATATTGGTGAGTTGATCTTTTATTTTTACCGAAAAAAATCAGAATATTTTTCATATAAATGCAACAAACATAGTGATTTATTCAATTTGGAATATAGTTTTGCGATGTAATCAGTTTCAACTTTTATCAATATCTTATCGTTTGTTGTCACGTGAAGTAATAATGCAAACAAATGCGCACCCCCCCCCCCACGCCATTTTACATTACTATCAAAAACTATTCGATAAGTCTTGATTAACTTATCTAATTAAATTAACACGCAACTTAATATTATTAGAACACAAAATCTACAAAGTTGATACTTACAATCAAATTACATGAATTGAAGAAAGAAAAATCATTGTCACACTTAAAGAAATATCATTGTCGGTTGGAAGATAATAATTTAAACGTAGTACAAAAAATGGCGGATTACAAAAAGAAAGGAAAAGTTGCTGCAGACAACTCCGCGAAAAGACGAATTGCGCTGAGCGAATTAATCATTGAGAGCTTTCCCTCTCCTGTTTTCCAGTTGATTTTCCCTCTCTCGCGGCTCAAGGGCCATGGGATATCGCTGGATTTCGCTGTACCGCTAATGGTTGTGTTTCTAGTCTACTTTCTCACTCGCTTCACGCTCCACGATTAGTTTGCAGGGGAAAGAAGGAGGAGGGGCACGACCCCCGCCCTCATCTTTTTAACCTTCGAGATTTTATCTCAATGTGAGATTCGGAAATACACATTTCCGATTTGTTGGTTTTTGTTGGTTCGCAATACTACAGTAATTTTGGCGATGTGTATGCTTGAGTTAAGCTTCGCACAACGGCCTTCGCTCGCACGTTTATGTAAAACCAACTTGGTTTGTTTATTTTAGCGCAAGTTTTACTTTTCAAAGTGCTCAAGCGTCTCGTCGATCTTCAAAGACATATGACTGATTCGACATTGACTCGTGTCAACGCGCATCTCGTTAGCTCTCAATTTCGCAGTTCAACCTTTCATAAATACATAACGCCTTTGTACTGATTTTCGCATCGGAGATTACAAAGTAAAATGACTTTGGAGCTACAGAATATTTCATAACTTAAATTAAAGCATTTGCAATGCTCGCTCACAAGCATTTTTATAAATTAGACAAAGATTTGATATTTTTAACGTCGCATTTTCTTTACGCTGACAATTTTATATCAAATATAATTCTTAACGCGTGCGTCACTTTCCAGTACAAACAAGATCAAAACAATGGTTTATTTCTTTTCGAGGAGTCTTATGAAATTCAAAAGAAAACATCCGTGCGCTCACCGAAATTATTATCGGACTCTGATTTTCTTGCATACGACCAAACGATCGTAAATTATCCTAAATGCGCTCAACGACTTTCAACGAGTTGTCACAAATCGGAGTGTGGACCGGTTCGAGCAGAGTTACGCGCAATTTATAATGGAAACAACAAAGGGAAAGAAAACGAAACAAAAATGCAAAATAAATTACGAGCGAGTATTTTATCGTTCACACATGGTTTTAGCCTGATCATTTCGTTGTCGGATTTATTACTCTAACCATCCGAAACACTGATTATATTATCATCTTTTGTAATTAATATCTCGTAATTAGTGTTGAAGTCGTATTGTTATATCGTAATTTATCAGTATAGGCATTAGAAATTCGTCAATATTCTAATTATAAATTTAATTATTTAATTGAATATAAAGTGTATGTAATGAAAGATATATAATGATGGAACATGAGTGTTGCGAAAGTGTAAATAATTCTTATACAAAATTATATTATATATATTATGTAAAAAATTATCCGTTAAACTAAATATGATTACAGGCTATAGATTATCAACGGATCTCCGCAATTGCGTAAGTGTTGAGGAGTTTCTTATGTACTCACAGCAGAGATTCATCAAAGGTCGAGTATTAGATCCGGTGACTGAGGGATTTAGTGATGCCATTCTTCCGGTAGTCTCACGACGTGCCAGATTCGTCGGTCTTGACTACGATGCCCACGAGCAGTTTATCTACTACAGTGACGTACTCCAAGACGTCATTTATCGGGTTCGTTTGCTTTGTATGATGCTTTGTATAAGTAGATCACTTTCTCTTATCTTAAGACTTTTGACTTGATAAAAATAAAGATAGACAGTAATAGATAACAATTATTCATTTGTTTATCTGAATCATTGTCCTAACGGCATACCAATTTCGATTGACAGGTACATCAAAACGGTACAGGCCGTGAAATAGTACTGGCTAGTCAGAACGAGGGCGTAGAAGGTCTCGCAGTCGACTGGGCGGCTAAAAATCTTTACTACATAGATTCACGTAAAGGTACATTAAATGTTTTGAGCACGAGGAATGTCACCTATCGTCGTACGCTACTCAAGAATCTTAAGCGACCAAGGGCTATTGTGATTCATCCGAATCAGGGCTATATTTTCTTCTCCGAATGGGACCGTCCGGCTAACATTAGCAGAGCTCACGCCGATGGTTCGAATCTCATTGTCTTCAAAAACTTGACGCTGGGATGGCCTAATGGCTTGGCTATCGATTTTACCAAGGATCGACTGTATTGGTAAGTTGTGATTTAAAAAAAAAAATATGATATATCTTGAGAAAAACTTCTCTATTAAATTATTACAAATAAATAATGGACGATTCAAGGTGCGACGCATTATTGGACCATGTGCAACACTCAAACCTCGACGGTTCGGACGTGCGTAATGTGAACTCAAGACTAATTCGTCATCCCTTTTCCATTGCCATACACGAGCAGTGGATGTACATAACGGATTGGCGACTAGATGCCATCATTCGCATGCATAAAGAATCGGGCGTACAAGAGTCTATACTTGTACGCGAACCCGCCACCAATCGTCTATATGGTGTTAAAGTGTTCAGCCGCGAAGTGCAAAGGCCCAACAATGAACACCCATGTTCTATCGCCAATGGAGGCTGTGAGAAACTATGCTTCGGTGTACCTAAAAATCAGACTACCAGATTCAGTTCAAATAGAGTCTCACTTACGAGACTGTGTGGCTGTCCTTATGGAGAAAAGCTTCAGGAGGACGGTACGAAACCTGCAGTTGTCATTTCGACGATATCGGTTTCAGTTCTATGTTTGAATGACAACTAATCATTTATTTACTTTTAGGTAAGACATGCGTAGAAGATCGTGAAGCAGAACCACCGCTGTTGGCTTGCCCGAACGCCTGGGATTTCACTTGTGCAAATCAACGTTGTGTGCCACAGTCATGGGTTTGTGACGGCGATGACGATTGTCTCGATAACAGTGACGAAATGCAGAACTGTACAAAACCTACGTGCAGTGCTAATGAATTCCAGTGCAAAGCTGGAAGATGTATTCCTTTGAGCTTCCGTTGTGATGCTGAGAATGATTGTGGTGATTACAGTGATGAGACTGGTTGTCCGAATGTCACCTGCTCTTCTAGCCAGTTTACTTGCGATAATAACAGGTAGAGTATTATAAAGAGAGTTATAAAAATTTCAAGCAGTATCTTGTGAATTATTAGATGATTTTAATTATTTTGATCGGTTGTAGATGTATTCCTGCTAACTGGAAGTGTGATTCTGAAAACGATTGCGGTGACAGTTCCGATGAAGGCGACTTTTGTGCTGCCAAAACATGCTCTTACTTTCAATTCACTTGTCCTCGATCAGGTCACTGTATACCTCAATCTTGGGTATGCGACGGTGATAACGATTGCTTCGATCAACAAGATGAAATGGATTGTCCGCCCGTAACATGTCTAAGTACTCAATTTACCTGTGCCGATCAAAAAATGTGCGTTCTTGAATCGTATAAATGTGATGGAATATCAGACTGTAATGATGGCTCTGACGAGGTAAATAATTACAAAAGTGTTATACCCTTATTATTAATCATTTTAACTTTAAGAATTCTTAGACTAAAATTTTGAAAATTTTTTCATTACAGGTTGGTTGTCCATCATTAGCGCCAGACCAGTGCAACTCCGAGAAGCAATTTCAATGCGCCAGTTCTGGAATTTGCATACCAAAGAGCTGGTACTGTGATGGTACTCCTGACTGCCACGACAAATCCGATGAGCCATCAAGCTGTGGCAAAGTTGATTGTCAATCAGGCTATTTTAAGTGTCGCAATTCACATTGCGTGTTCAAGGCATACATTTGTGATGGCAAAGAAGACTGTGGCGATGGCTCTGACGAAGATGCAAGGCTGCATGCTTGTGCGCCGCCACCATTCAAGTGCGAATCAATGCAGTGGCAGTGTCCCAACGTTACTAATCAATGCATCAATATAACAAACGTTTGTGACGGTATGTTGTATTTTTTTTCTTTTACTAGCTATTTGCCATTTTTTAACGTAACGTCCTTGTCATCTAACAGGCAAAGTTGATTGTCCACATGGCGGCGACGAAGGTCCCGGTTGTGATTTGAACGAATGTTCTGAATCACATCACTATGGTCTTTGCAGCAACAACTGTACTCAAACTCCATTTGGCGCTTTGTGCACATGCCCGATGGGAGAGGAACTCAGTGACAATGGATTTACTTGCCACGATATTAATGAGTGTGATCCTCCAGGACGTTGTTCGCAAAAATGTGTCAACACTAAACGTAGCTACTACTGTGAGTGCGTTGATGGCTATAGTCTCGATGCCGATAAACACACTTGCAAGGCTTTTAATCATAGTCAAGCATTCCTTATCATAAGCAATCGACATACTATCCTCGTGGCAGATCTACAGGATCAGGCACTGGAACGAGTACCTACTAGTGTAGAAAATGTTGTGGCAACAGCTAGTAACATGCATACTGGAACAATATTCTGGTCGGATATGAAACTAAAGAAGATTTCGAGGTTAGATAAGGGTAGTTACCCGCAAGATGTCATTTCAAGTGGTTTAGATTTGGTTGAAGGTCTAGCTTATGACTGGATTGGTCAAAACTTGTACTGGTTGGACTCAAAATTGAATACTATCGAGGTCGCCAAAGAAACTGGACAAAATAGAATGGTACTAGTAAAAGAAAATATCACGCAACCGCGAGGTATGTGCTTAGATCCTAGTCCTGGTGCTCGTTGGCTCTTCTGGACAGATTGGGGTGAGTTGATATTTTATTATTTCATCATATACCAATTAAAATTCAGTAATCCATACAGTTAACTAAATAATTATATAACTTTATAGGTGAAAATCCACGCGTAGAGCGTATTGGTATGGATGGCAATTCCCGCATGGCTATTATAACAACCAAGATATACTGGCCCAATGGTTTGGCTTTGGATATTGCAACAAAACGTGTATACTTTGCAGACAGCAAGCTAGATTTTATTGACACGTGCCTTTACGATGGTACCGAACGTCTCCAAGTACTGGCAAGCTCACATTACTTGTTGCACCCACACTCGTTAACACTCTTTGAAGACACAATGTACTGGACTGACCGTCAACTCAACCGTGTTCTTTCGGCGCACAAGTTTAAGGGTATCAACCAAACTGTAGTGTCACATGTGATTTCACAACCACTTTCTATTCACGTGCATCACCCTGTGCTGCAGCCCATTACGCCAAACCCTTGTGCTAATGCTTCATGTACACATCTATGTTTACTTTCGCCAACTGCTCAACTAGGATATACCTGTAAGTGTCTTGTTGGTTACAAGCAACTAAGCGATGGAAGATGCATCGAGGAGGACACACCGTTCCTTATGGTTCTCAGAGGATCACAGATTGTAGATGTGTCGCTTACACCTGGTGATAGTAAGAGCGGCTATATCACACCGGTAGTGGGCGTTGAAAATGGTCGATTTATTGACTACGACAGAAGAGACCATATGGTATACTGGTTACAATCAAAGGAGAATGACGAGGATAGCGAGAACGGAACATTATATACAATGCCTTACACCGGTGGTAACAGAACCGAATTCCCTAATCCTCAAGGTGACTCTGGAATTGTTGGATCACCATCGACGTTTGCTATCGATTGGCTTGGTCGTAATGTGTTCATCGGTAACAAAATTGCATCGAACATTGAAGTGATCAAAATTGACGGAGACATTAAATATCGTACAATTGTTCTCGCAAATGACGGTAACAAAACATCTGTAGCAAAACCGAAAGCTATGTGCCTTGACCCACTTGATGGTCATGTGTTTTGGATTGACGAGGGTGGTTTCGGGGTTCCCATTAAAATTGGACGAGTCAATATGGATGGAACAGATCCAATGATTCTTATGGAGAAGGAACAGTGGCTCGAAGCTCTGACTATTGATATTCCCAATAAAATGCTGTATTTTAGTACCCAGCACCAAGGGTACATAAAATCTATGAGCACTGACGGTAGTGATGTACACAATATTCTCACGAGCGTTAATAATATTGCTCAACCTAAGGCACTTGCTGTACATGGTTCAAGACTGTACTATTTAGATCCTGCCTACGAAAAGATAGAAAGAGTTGACTTGCCCGATGGTGACAATCCAGTACAAATTTTACATAATGACGCCGATTTAAAAACATTAACGATCTATAAAAAACGACTAACCGATACTGCTCATCCGTGTTTGACGAATAACGGTGGTTGTGAACAAATATGCCTTCCGTCTATAGGTAACACAAGAGTTTGTGCTTGTGGAATGCAATATCGCAAAGTTGGTGAGACTAATTGTGAGTCATATAAGACCTTCCTTGTTGTTACACAACTTGATGTTGCTAGAGGATACAGTTTTAAGGATGCCAAGGAGGCAATGGTACCAATTTCTGGACCTGGTCATCATATTCTGCATGTAGACGTACACTACGCACTCAATTGGATTTATTGGGTCGAGTTCAATAGAGGCACGTGGAACGGAATTTTCCGAATCAGACCTAATGGTACCGAGTTACAGCACATTGTTAAATCGGGCATCGGGTCAAACGGTATTCGAGGTCTCACAATTGACTGGATAGCCGGCAACATTTACTTCTCCAATGTATTCCCACACGATAATTATGTTGAGGTCTGTCGACTCGATGGCAGTCATCGCAAGGTTATCGTTAAGACGACTATCGATACACCACGTGAACTTGCGGTCAACCCTATCAGAAGGATGCTTTATTGGATTGACTATGGGCAGTATCCACGCATCGGTAAAGCTTTCCTCGACTGTAGCAACTGGAAACCAATTGTTACTTCCGGTATCAGTACACCGCGGGATCTTACCATCGATTTTGCCACTCACGATGTTTATTGGGTTGATTCGAAACTTGACACTATCCAGAAAGTTTCATACTCCGGCAGTAATCGTCAAGTCATCAGGCGCAATTTGCCGAACCCAATGGGTGTTGCTATATTTGGCAGTAAGTATATATTGTAAGAAACTGAATTGCATTGCGTAATTACTACATTATACTTGAAAAATTTATAATTTTTATTTACCAGGCGATGTTTATTGGGTGGACCGTAACCTTGCCAGCGTGTTCCGTGCTAGCAAACTTCCAGGAAACATGAGTTTACCAACAGCAATGCGCACTAACTTACCAAAACTACGTGATATCGCGATCTACGATAAAAGTGCTCAGCCACAAGATGATAGTAACCCTTGTGGACGTGGAACTAATGGTGACTGCAGTCAACTGTGCTTCGCCTTTCCCCGAGATATTACAACACAAATGCGTTGTGACTGTGCTGTGGGTAAATTGTCCAGCGATCAGAAGAGCTGTGAAAACGTTGATGAGTATTTGGTATTTGCCACGAGAACAGAAATTCGAGCCATCAATTTACATCCAAAAGATACTTCACAACCCTTTAAACCAATTGGAAATCTAACGAACGTTGTTGGGGTTGATTTCGATTACGACGACGATAAGATATTCTTCACGCAGATCAGACCTTGGGCAAAGATCGCCTGGTTAGACTCCAATAACCCCGCTAATAGTCAGATCACTACTGTGTTGGGTAAAAACATTAATCCTGAGGGCATTTCTTATGACTGGACGCAAAAAAAGATTTATTGGACTGATTCTTCAAATAATAGCATCTATGCCATGAATACTGATGGTACGAGTCTAGTCATGATTGCCAGAGTTGATAGGCCGAGAGCAATCGTTGTTGATCCATGCAATGGTTCATTGTACTTCACTGACTGGGGTCGTTTCAGTACATCCGGAAAAATCTTCAGAACTACTATGGCTGGATCATTCAAAAAAGCTATTATTGAAAAAGACTTAGCACAACCGAGTGGTTTAGCGATTGATTACGAAGAAAGAATGTTGTACTGGACTGATGCTATTAAGGAAAAGATTGAAAGATCTGATCTAGATGGAAATAACAGGGAAATCTTGATTCCAGCATCGATTTATCCATTTGCCATTACGGTGTTCCGGGAGCATATTTATTGGACTGACCTTCAATTACGTGGTGTCTATCGTGCTGATAAATACACCGGTGGCGATCGTATTGAATTAGGTATGATATTAAATTTTAGATTGTTGTGAAAATTGAAAATTCTAATTTACTACTATCTCGTAAAATATATTTCCTTTAATCTTCAAATATTAAAAAACAAGATTGAGCAACTGTTTAAATCTTATATTTATAAACTAATATATAATACCGAGTTGAAATTGAAATCTTTTAGAATACTTTTTTGAATAAATTTAAATAAAATATAATCTACTGTAATTAAAAAATGTGTAAGTTGATATCTTGTTTGTAGAGATAATTTTTGAATTAACTAATTTTTTTTATTGCAGTTAAAAGATTAGAGGACTCACCACGTGACCTTCACATTTATTCACCTAATCGTCAGCAGTGCAAAGTTAATCCGTGTAATATCAAGAATGGTGGCTGTGATCATGCCTGTTTTCCAGGTCCGAATGGTACCGTAGAATGTAAATGTGATGATAACAACCGATTGGTCAATGAAAACCGCATGTGCGTACCTAAAAATATAACTTGTGACCCAAGTAAATTTGCCTGTCGCAATGGAAAGTGTATTTCCAAAATGTGGGCTTGTGACGGCGACAGCGATTGCGGGGATGGTTCTGATGAAGATCCGAACTACTGTGGTAAGTTTTCATTATTTGAAAGTTACTGTAATATGACAATTTTATACATAAATAATTACTAAATAAGTAATACAAATTTGTTATCTTATTTACAGCTTATCATTCATGTAGTCCTAACGAATTCCGGTGTAATAACGGCAGGTGCATCTTTAAATCATGGAAATGTGACCACGAAGACGACTGCCAAGATGGTTCCGATGAAGAAGGTTGCGTTTATCGACCTTGTGCTAATGGCGAGTTTACCTGCGCTAACCAACGTTGTATACCTATGGCGCAAGTTTGTAATGGTGTAAATGATTGTAAAGACAACGTCACTAGTGATGAGACTCACGAACGATGCCCACGAAATACTACTTGTCCACCAAACCATCTGAAATGTGATAAAACAAATATTTGTGTGGAACCATATTGGTTGTGTGACGGAGATAATGACTGCGGAGACAACAGTGATGAGGATCCTCTACATTGCTCTCAAAGAACCTGCCCACAGAACAGTTTCAGATGTCCAAACCATAGGTGCATCCCTGCTACTTGGTATTGTGACGGCGACGACGATTGCTTGGACGGAAGTGATGAGCCACCGGAGTATTGTCATTCTGAAGGAAGAACGTGTTTCGGAGATTTATTCACTTGCGACAATGGACACTGCATACCAAGAATATATATCTGTGACGGAGATAATGATTGTTTGGACAACTCTGACGAAGACGAACGTCATCAGTGCAGTGAGTAACGTTCTCTTTAATGTGTGTATGTGTGTGTGTGTGTATGTGTGTAATTACTATGTTTCACAAATTCAAATTTATCATTTTTTTGTATCGTTTGATTGTTCCTTTGATCATATTGTTTACCTACTTGCAGATGATCGAAAGTGTGATGAGGAAACTGAATTTACCTGCGTAGCAAATAAAGCCTGGAACCGTGCCCAATGTATACCACAGAAATGGCTTTGTGATGGCGATCCTGATTGCGTCGATGGAGCTGATGAAAATGTAACTCTCCACCATTGTCCAGAGCCTACACCTTGCTCGGATAACCAGTTCACTTGCAACAATGGACGTTGTTTGAACCGTAGTTGGCTCTGTGATCACGATAATGATTGCGGCGACGGTTCAGATGAAGGCAAATTCTGTAATTCAAAGTATAAACAGTGTTCAGATAATGAATTCACTTGCCAAAACTTCAAATGTATAAGAAAACAATTTTACTGTGATGGTCAAGATGACTGTGGTGATCACTCAGATGAAGTTGGATGTGGTAAGTTCAATATCTTTTATTATATAAATAAGATCGTCGATAAATATTTTTAAATAGTTATTTTTATTAATCATCAGATTTTTTTAACAACTTTTCAAAATTGTACTTTCAATTTTTATTTTTACAATAAGTTTAATATTTTCATTCTACACATATAAGTATCTTAATTCTTGTTGATAATATTTTTATTAAAAAAATCTTAGAAAGTGTATTGTTTTCAGCTCCAAAAGGAAAGAACGTGACATGTCCAAATCCAAATGAATTCCGCTGCACTTCGGGCCAGTGTATTGATCAGCAGCTGGTCTGTAACAAAATAATAGACTGCAACGACGGTAGCGATGAACCTGCTCACTGCAATGTCGACGAATGTGCTAGAGTCGAGTTAAATCAGTGTGGACACCGATGCGTGGATACTCCAACATCTTACTATTGCGAATGTAATCCAGGTTACAAGTTGCTTGAGGATGGCAAAGCTTGTGCTGACATCGACGAATGTACTGAGACACCGTGGGTCTGTAGTCAGCAGTGCGAGAATACTCCAGGAAGATATTACTGTAAATGTAACGAGAAATGGTACGATAGAGCTCCGGATGAACATACGTGCAAGAGGAGGGATAATACTCAGCCATGGATCATTTTTACCAATAAGTATTACGTGAGAAACATGTCGACTGATGCAACATTGTACAACATTATGCATCAAGATTTGATTAACGTCGTAGCTCTCGATGCAGATTATTTGCAAGAGATGCTTTACTTCTGCGATGTGACTGCTAAAGCTATTTACAGGTAAATGTCGATCTTAAAAATAAGTAAAAGGTTAAGTTAATTGTATTGTTTTTTATCGAGTTGATTGTACTTAGTTTAGCTTTTCAACTGACAAATTGTACTGTTTTAGAGCTCCAATTGCTGGTGGAGAAAAGGAAGCCGTCATTCGACACAACAGCCTAGGACTTGAAGGTATTGCCATTGATTGGATAGGAAGGAAGCTTTATTGGCTTGACAGACATGCTAAACATCTGGATGTATCTGAACTGGATGGTACCAACAGAAAAACTTTGTTGAGTGGCATTGCTGACCCTCGAGCAATTGTTGTTCACCCTGGTACTGGTTATTTATACTTTACGTCCTGGCATCTACAGGTGATTATTTGCGATTCTAATTTGATTAATTATATTAGTTCATTATTAATAATATATTTAAATTTTTTTAAAACAGGCCTTTATTGGAAAAATGGGTATGGATGGTAGTAATATGACGCGTATCCTAACGTGGAATGATGATATAGCTTGGCCGAATGCTCTGACTATCGATTACATAACTGACCGACTCTTCTTTGCGGATGCTCATTTGGACTATATCGCATTCACCGATCTTGAGGGTCATCATCGCCGTATTGTCCTCTCTGGACCATCGGTACCGCACGTATTTGCTATAACTGTGTTTGACGATCACATCTACTGGACCGATTGGAATTTGAAGACTATTAGTCGTGCCGAGAAATTCTCCGGAGCCAATCTTACTGTACTTAGAAATACCACTCATAGGCCATACGATATTCACATTTATCATCCACTGAGACAGCTACCATACAACAATCCATGTACCCAGAATAACGGAGGCTGTTCCCATTTGTGTTTAATTGCACCGCCTGCAAGCTCGTATTTATTGGAAGGATATGGACAGCCTGGTGTCACCCAGTACAAGTGTGCTTGTCCTAATCAATACATTCTAAGTACAGATGGCAAAAATTGTATTGCCAACTGCACAACTGGACAACACCGCTGCGGACCACCCGACGAAAAGTGTATTCCTTGGTTCTGGAAGTGAGTTTCAGATTTTTATGCAGTTTCATTATTATTTCATTAACTGATTTACATTAACGTGCAAATTTAAATAATCTTATTAAATTATTTATTAATTATTTATTGCGTCAAGGTGTGATGGCGAGAAAGACTGTAAAGACGGATCTGACGAACTAATGAATTGCTCGACGACTCGAGTATGTCGCCCAGGCGTCTTTCAATGTACGAACAAGAATTGCGTTCCTACGATCACCGTGTGTGATGGTACTGATGATTGTGGAGATAGGAGCGACGAAACCAACTGTGCTCTTGATTGTCCGGAGCTTGAATTCAAATGTAAGAGTACAGGACGATGTATTCACGGTTCATGGAAATGTGATAACGATGCTGACTGCAAGGACGGCTCAGACGAAGATCCTGCTATTTGCCGTAAATGTTTTTTCTAAACATGAAATAGTCTAGTAATAAACTATTTCTCACTTATTCACTGTTATTCTTTAAATTGTGTTGTTTCCAGATAATCGTGTTTGTGACCCTGATACTGAGTTCTCTTGTAAAAATGGAAAGTGTATCCCTAAATTATGGATGTGTGATTTCGATAACGACTGTGGTGATGATAGTGACGAGCCTGCGTTTATGTGTCGTCAACGCAATTGTACTACTGGCTGGCAACGTTGCCCTGGCCACGCCAACTACCGCTGCATACCTAAATGGTTGTTCTGCGATGGAAAAGATGATTGTCGCGATGGTTCCGATGAGAGATCCGAGAGCTGTCCCAAGTGCGATCCAAATACCGAGTTCAAGTGTGCAAACAATAGATGCGTGCCAAAGCAGTGGCTATGCGACTTTGCTGATGATTGCGGTGACGGTTCAGACGAGGCTAAAGCTACCTGTTCAGGAAGATACCGAGATTGTACCGAGAGCGAATTCAAGTGTGCTAACGGCAAGTGCATTGCTTCGAGATGGAGGTGTGACAACGAAGACGATTGTGGTGATAGAAGCGATGAGGTTAACTGTCACGAATTCAAGTGCAAGGTGTGTTATCCGCATAGGAGTAACTGTTATCTTCTATAACGTATATATACATATTTCAATGGTATTAACGATTATCTTAAATTTTTACAGAACGATACTTTCCAATGTGCAAGTGGTCATTGTATACCTATTTCATTACGTTGTGATGGTGCACGCGATTGTCAAGATATGAGCGATGAGATTGGATGTATGCCGAAATATCCCGGTGGTAGATTCTGTCCGGAAAATCAATTCCAGTGTGATAATAACTTGTGTGTCTCACAATCAGATCGTTGTGACGGTAGCGACGATTGCGGTGATGGTTCGGACGAAAGTCAAACGATGTGCGGTAAGCTGTAGCTTATCAATAATACTTGATATTTATTACTACTGATTTTTATGATATTGAATAGAAAATTAATTTAATATTGTAGCAACATTCAAATGCGACACGTCAAGACGATTCCAGTGTGTCAACCATCGCTGCATTGCTAAATACCAATTATGCGATGGTATCGATAACTGTGGTGACGGCAGTGATGAAAACAACATGACCTTATGTTCACGTAAAATTGTTCCGTGCAATCCAATCGCCTCATATCAATGTGCTAACAAGAATTGTATCGATCGCCTTAAAATCTGTGATTACGCTAACGATTGTGGTGACTTTTCCGATGAACTCGGATGTCGTAAGTGCCTTCACATTGATCAAATAATCGCTCTCTCTATAAATTAATGTTGCTTATGATATGATTCTGTTGTAATTATAGATCACAACAAGGTGTGCAATGATGCAGACAAGGGCGGTTGTGCCCATTACTGTCAGAATGTAACTGATACACTGTCTCTATCTACGGATGCAGCACCGCGAGGTTATATATGCGCTTGCTACCCTGGCTATATTATTACTGAAGAGAATCACAAACACTGTGAAGATATCAATGAATGTACCAAAAATCAGCACACTTGCTCGCAGCTCTGTACTAATTTGAACGGCTCATATGCTTGCTCTTGCCGTGACGGCTTCAAGCTTTCTGATAATTTAAGCGGAGTATGTAGGGCTGAAGATGATAAGGTAGTGCTATAATTTATTTTTATAATTTAATTTTTGATAATTATGAGGAGTGTTCTAATAGATTGTTATTTATGAATCACAGGTATTGGTAATGTTTGGAAGCGGACAAGAAATTCGAGCGCTAAAAATATATCAAAATGAAGAACTAGGTGTTGTAGCCAACGAAAAACGAGTAAACGCTATTGATTTTGATCCTAAAATGGAATACGTCTATTGGATTGACGCTCACGATCGCGTCATCAAGCGATCTGTTATGGTTGACGGCAAAATGGTTCAGATTGGTTTTGCTCAAACTCTAACTGAAAAAAGTAAGTAACTTTTTCTCAAAATGACTGTTTTATTTTGTAAACGTATACTATTCGCCTATATTTTTTTTAGCGGAAACAATACCAACAAGTTTAGCTGTTGATTGGATCTCGGGTAACCTTTATTGGACGGAAATGGATAATATGCCACCACGCAGTGGTGGACGACTTGTTGTTGCAAAGGCTGACGGGCGATATAAGCGCAGTCTGATCACGGATCTTGTAGAACCGACTTCTGTGGTTGTCGACCCGCAACTAGGTCGAGTGTTCTTTGCTGACGGTGGTCCTTCACCAAAGATCGAGTTAGCGTGGATGGATGGTAGTCATCGTAAGGCGATTGTCGTAACTCGACTGGGGAAACCGTCAGCTCTGGCAATTGATTATGCTATGGACCATGTTCTATACTGGGCGGATATCAAATTGAATACTATCGAAACTATCCAGATAGATGGAAATAATCGTAGGGTTATCATTAGTGGCGATCACCTTAAGCATCCAGTTAGTCTGGATGTATTTGAGAGTAATGTCTTTTGGTCGACGAAAGCCAACGAACTCGTCAGGCAGGACAAATTTGGCAGAGGAGTACCACAGATGCTATCACGGAATCTTGGTAGTCCTGGTGGCGTAAAAGTTTACCACCAGTTGAGGTATAACATTACACTGCGAGATCCTTGTCACTCGGTCGAATGCTCGCATTTGTGTGTTGCTGTACCCAAGGGCCACAGGTGTCTATGTCCCGACAGACAGGGACCACTCAGCCCTGTTGTTATTAATGATATCATCTGTGATGCGACCATCGAAAGAGAAAGGCCATCACCAAAGGTACTTATTCGTTAATTAACGTATTTTTTAGTAATTAATATTATTAATTTATAATTTTTTCCTTGTAGATCTGTCCATGTCGAAATGGTGGATTCTGCCAGGAGAATGAATCGGGCAAGTTAATCTGCGTATGCCCCATAGATTTCCACGGTGAAACATGCGAGGTTGGTTTTGCATCAACAATGGCAGGTGGTTCTACCGCTTCGATCATTGTACCCATCATAGTCGCCATTCTCGTGCTACTTGCTGCTGCGGCCATCTTCATGGTACTCAAAAAACGACCATTGTAAGTTTTTATATCAATTGATTTTTATTTTATGATTGATTTTTCTTGAACAGTGAAATAATGTAAATTATAATGTATAGTGGTAAGACAATTGGTGGTTTAACTGGTGCTCAAAGTGTTTCGTTTCGACAAGGCAGCAATGTTGAATTCGGTGGCTCCGGAGGTGATCGAATGGTTTGTATTTTTTTCCTTTGAAAAAATATTGGATTTGTAAATATTTACAGGTGAATAAACGATCATTTTTCTATTTAATAGGAACCCTTGGATGTCGAATACAACCTGACTGAAGTGGGAAATAAGAATCGCGACTTCAGCAACCCAATGTACGATGCGGTGAACATGGAGACGACTAGTCCAACGGCAACGAACGGTACTAACACAGCTTCGAGTGGCATTTACGAGGTTCCAGCTGAGATGAAGCCCTCGAGTGTTCAGCACAAAGAAGCACTGCAACTTCACCTAAAGCGGCGCGAACTTGACCCAACGCCCATTGACTCAGGCAAGGACACACAGCAACTTGTCGAAGAGGACAAATCTGAGTCATAATCCATGACGTTATGCGCGTTTGTACATATGGTTGTAATGATTAGGTCGCCGAGCGTGGTATAAAGACCAATGTGTTTTAAGATTTCCTTTTCCTTCTATTGCTATTTGATCTTCACTTTTTTTACTTCGTTGACGATTTTGTAATGTAATTGTGAACAATATATTATCGAATAAGAGTTGACTTGTGATATATTGTAACCAAACGTTGTCTTCCACTCAGCGTGATCAATTGAAAAAGAAAGAGAATATATTTTTTCGAAAATATTAAGATCAAATTGCAATAGACACGATATGATTTGTGTCATTCAATATTTTAGAAAAAGAGATGTAAAATTTTACTATAGATTTTATAACATGGGCTCCAACAAAGTCTGCATGGTCGTAGACCTTACATCTCCTACATAGTTGTGATGTGTAAGTCTTGTAAATATTATTACTACGAAGTGTTTTTTTTATCATTCTATCAATTTGTGTACCATAAAGGTGTTAAATAATACGAAAAAAACAATAACATACATTCCATTGTCAACTAAAAGCCACTCGCGGGCATAATTATTAAGTAGTAATAGTCGAAATATTTTTACTGTGCGCGAATGAGTGAGCGTTGCGCGATAGTTAAACTCGCAATTTTTATTGGAAGTAAACAAAGAAAGAGGATGTATGAGACAATGAAATATATTTAAGCGCATTTAGCACGATGCGTCGACGTGAAGCTGTAACTTTCTAAATAATTAGGTTTATTATGATCTTTTTGTAGAGAAAAATAAACAGAGTGAGAGAGAGAGAGAGAGAGAGAGAGAGAGAGAGAGAGAGAGAGAGAGAGAGAGAGAGAGAGAGAGAGAGAGAGAGAGAGAGAGGGGTGTGGTTGTTAGAATGAGCATATTATTTTTTTCTACGATGGTGAATGGACTTTCGCGATACAAAGTATAAAACTGTAGAATGGAAAAATTACAATGAAGAATTTTGTAAACTTTGTTAAGCATCAGTTATTATTATTATAATTATTATTATTATTATTATTATTATTATTATTATTATTATTATTATACTATATTTTATGAATTGTGAAAATAAGCATTACAAAGGCCAATTAATGATTTTATTTTATTTAAGCATCAATTCAAGAAATTTTTTTTGGCCGATATTGTTGTACATTTCCGTTTATGCAAGTTATGCGCGGGATGCTACGAGCATAAGCTGAAAATTTTCACTTAAAAGGTTGATCGGAGGGGGGCTACAAAGTACCGACGTCTTAAGAGTTGATTTTCATTCGTGCTTGTTGTTTTTCGTACTAGCACGCATAATTATTATATATAAAATATAATTATAAATAAACAAATATATATATATATATATGTCTTGTTACAATTGACTTCGATCTGGATGGAGCTCCAGCGTGTGTCCTAATAATGATGTTTATAATTATAACATATCAGTATTTTGTGTATTTTTTTATTCAGTTGATAAAATAATAATTGTTAATATATTGTGCAAATATCAAACTGATACCGTCCAACAATAAACTATAAGGTTAATATGTTTTGATTTTATTTCTAGACCGTACTCAAATTACTGTTAACAAAGAAGTAACAATTTATAAAACTTCAATATAATTTTGATAAAACGTATTATAAAATAGTTTGATAAATGACTTTTATCTCGTTCTTATGAATATCAACAAAGTTCGGTGACTTTATATAAATATCGGTAAAATTTTTTTATACAAAAATAACAATAGCCGAAGCTCAATGACTTCAAGATTCTCGTTTTCATTCAATTGATGAAAATCTGATTCAGAAATCTGTAACGAAGATTTTTTATTGAAGAGAACGACCAGTCCTGAAATATCGAGCGTCTTTCTCTTCGATTTGTTTTAGTTTTTTATATTTTGCATTTTTCCGTATACTTTTATGCTTTTTAGGACGAACTTGTTATCATCTAAAATGATTATAAAATATTTACTGAACTCTTTTCTACGATATTAAAAGTATATTACATATATAAAATAAATGAAAAGAATTATGATATGATTATTATTATAACATATTATTATATTCTTATATAATATTAATACACAATAGTTGTCTCATCGATATTTGCTAGTAGAAAATGTAATATTAAAATATCTAATTTTTTTAGTAAATTTACTTAAGACCTTTGTTTGATTCCGCGTTTTCGTTCATTTATTCGTTGGAAACACCTGCCTTAGACGCTTGCAGTGTACTGGTCGCTATGCAGTTTTACAACAAGCACGTGTATCTTGCCGCTCGCGGGCAGGTTCATGCCTTTAAGTTGCTGATGAGTGAACCAGGAAGACGCTTTATTAAATAAAATATTTTAGAAAGCTGAGAATAAATGCTCTGAAAAATTTCACAAAATATTTCTATTAAGTTTTCAAAACTCTTCAAGAATATTTTATTTAAAAGTTTTCATACTGAGAGATATGTATTAAATACTCCATTGAAAAAAATGAAAGCAAAGTAAAGCCAAGAAAAAGATAATTTTTTGCTTGTAAGAGATGAGCCGATGATGATTGGCTCATGCGAGTCGGGTTTTTGCAGATCCATTCGCTTGTGCTACAAAATCGACTGAATATTATTCACCAAACAAATAAGACAAGATATTTGACAACAACGAAATATGTGACAATGACATCAATATGCAGTCTTAAGAATTCATTTCTCAAAGATCGCAAACATTCCACTTGTGGTAATTCGCGTGATTTCGACATATATATATATATATATATATATATATATATATATATATATATATATATATATATAGTTATTTTTACCACCAATCCAAATAAATAATTGATTTCCTATAAAGAGGTAACGGCGCTATACTTGTACAGCATTAGATAGAGAGAAAGGGTTTTATGATTAAATATTATTTGGAAGAGCTCGAGCGGTAGGTAGGTATTTTACTATATCAAAGTATGATTTGCTGAAAATTCGTCGTAAGAACGACATAATTGTAAGAAAGACCGTGCTTGATATTCACCTTATTACACTATTCAAGTGATTGATTCTCAGCTCTAACTATCAAAGTTTGTTCTTTTCCTATTGAAACTTTGATGATCATCATGCTGAATGTTCTCAATGTCGTAGTGATGTTTAAATGCCGCCGCTGTGAACGGATATCTGTGATCAGTAACTGACTGTATTATGAAAGTTGAATATATAGGGCAGCTTAAAAATAAAGTACCAATTTTGGCTGGGGTCAGACTTTTCACATCAGGATATCTGATTTTGTGCAAATATTTTTTGCTAAAACCACGCGTATTTCATTGATAAAAAAAGCAATCTGTATCGTTATCCTGTGGTTCACGTCAGATAGTTGGTTCTAGGACAACGCATTGAAGGGGTTTTATCTGTTCCTATTTTGATAAGTTTTTTCTACAAGTATTTTAAATTGTCGGAGATGGTTGTCCAAATTTTTCATCGACGGTCCATAACACTTCAAATATGAAGTTTGGTTTTTCAAAAGCCGAGGGTTGGGTACTTGGAATTCGAGTTTTGAGGTTAACTTTCTGTTGGGTTAAGGTTTCAGCACCCAGGGTTCGTGGGTTCAGGTTTGAGTTTCCAGGCTAACTTGTCGTGTAGAAAGAAATAACGTAGAGAATAGTTTTTTCTCATAAGTTCTAAATATTTATAGTTAAAAAGATAGAAATAATTGATAAATTAAGAGAAGAAACTATAGGGCTGGACATTTTTCCATCTGCTTATTTAATGTTAATTACGAACAATCATCTATAGAATTGAATGAGGTTAGTTGTTCTACTTATTAAAAATAAATAAATGATTGAATAATAAATCACAAAATTTGTTCAAATAAAATTAATGAACCTTATCTAAATCCAAGTAATAAGATTTTTGTAATCTTATCTAAAGCTTTTTATACTCTTACAACTGCCTAAATTATATGAAAGTTATATTTACTTGCCTTTCATTTCTCAATTTTTTATATTAACGTACGATAAAAAATGTCATATTTTAAATAGTTTGTTACGTGACGGACCATTTCATTTTTTTTTGTTATAATATATCTACTTAAGATTTCGCCTGCGAGAGTCGCATTCATGTCGCGCCAAGGCCAAGAACATAGCGATAAGACACTATGATCAGCAGTACGCGTGTGCGCGCCATGGCGGGAATAAATGGGAGAAGCCGAGATACTGCTGCAGCATGCTTCGTGTTTCCTAGCGTGTTAGGCTAGGAAACATGAAGCGATTAAAAACGCGTGAATTAGAGAGAGACAAATATAAAAACAAATTTAACCTATGAAGGCACAGGCAATGAAACAAATTTTTTTTGTTTGCAATTATTCATAAAAATTATTTAAACAAGTTGTGGGTATGCTTCATAAAGAACGGACAATTTTTTTATTGTAATAAAAATACATTATCTTTCAGGGATATTAGCGTCTGAAACTAAATGAATTTTAAATTCTAAATGAAACTCTGAAATTACTAATGAATTCTTTTTTTCAGCCTTTAGTCACCATGTTAAGTCTTGGTAAAAAATGTATAGCCTGTGGTAAGTCAAAGAAAAAATGGTTGGATGGAAACGAACTGTCGATACGGATAGTAAAGCCAAAGATCTCTTAGATTGTTTGCTACAACAATTATGGTTGGTAATATTCTATGTAGCACTTACAGTTGCATCGCTCGGTTAGCAAAGTCAAAGCGACGAACTTGAAGAGACAGAAAAAGCTCCTCAGCCAGAAAGTTAAAAGTCGACTTTATCTTCAGAACCAGCATCACAGTCTATTAAAAAATGATTCAATTTATCAATCAAAAGAAGTAAAAACGGTGGAAAATGAAGCTATTGAATTGTTTTCGAAAAGAGCTTGTGCAGACAAATTTTTCATTTCTAAAAATATGTCTAGACTAATTACAGTTACTTTTGAAGCACGTCAACAAGTTTTTGTTGATAATAAAATATTTATTCCGAAGGTTAATCGATGCTGCCCAAAACATTTGATAAAGGAACGGTTCTATATATATGAGATAGGAAGTTTCCGTAAAGTTTCTCGTGAAAGCTCTGTAGCGACTGCTGATATAATAAAATTACTCAAAGCTTTGATATATATTCCAAGAATATATATTGTTATGAATCGACCTATGCATTTTAGAACGCGATAAAAAAAGAAGTGTTGCTAGGCGATTTGTTGGTTGTTGATTTTGTTCTGTTTGTTTTTCAGTTCGTTGTATTTTGCGCTTTGACTAAGAAACACTTGTAATAATATCACTATTGACCTATGATTAAAAATAGTTGCAGGTATAAAATAATTTAAAATAATATAATATAAAATAATTATAAAAATAATTTCCACATTTCGTGCTCGACCTTTTTCTTTTAAATAATTACGACCAACGAGTCCGAACCAGCTGCGCGCATCACGTTCTATCGGTTTTTCTATTTTCTGTCGTGTTATCCGGAATAAATAAATTATGAAATTTTTCAATGTGAATATCTTTCAGGAGTTCTGAGAGATTTAAAACCATCAAAGCTTCTTCTAAATTAAGATAATATGTAGAAACTCTCGTATTATTTTATGTAAATGTATTATATTAAAAAAAATATATTTATAAATAAATTATTAAATTATTCTGTAAAAAATATAAATATAATATAATTCTTGTAATGAAGTCGTACATAATTATGTTTTTTCACAGTAGTTTAGGCGCTAATAGCGACTGAAGTACAATAAGCAGCCTTTTATTTAGCGCTTTAAGCAATCTTTTATTTAGCACTATAAATTATTGTCTTCATTTTTATTTTCATTGTTCATTTGGGAACACTCTTATAAATATGTGGTTATGCAGTCCCCTGTTTCGCCAAGCACCACAAAAATAGTGCCATATTATTTTTTCTTATTCTAGCTGCATTTCTGTCATACGTTACACCTGTAAAATAACATAGATTGATTAGTTGAATTTTTTTATAGTGGTTTAATACAAATTTATTATTATTACTATATGTATGAAAACTTACATCCGTCAGCAGGACGATTACCATGGTTAGTTCCGTTAACTTGAACCTGCAATTGCTGGCTGTTACGAAATACTGAAAAAATACATAATAAACAAATTACTATAATAATAAATAGTACACAATCAATTAACAATTTAAATTT